TTTACATTTGGCCAAATTCTTATTATTGACCAGTAATAGCTCTGTCATGCATGATATTTCTGTTGTCCTCGCCAAAAGAGAGGTCACTTGTAATCAGTTAAGCTGTTGTTTTGTTAGTCCCTGCGAACTGCTTTTCCAGAATGTATTCTCTTGAGGATTAAGTGAGCTAACACACTTTGTTTTATAAGAGCACCAGTCTAAAGGTGACCAGCAAAGAAGCAGGGAGAGGAGCAATTCCCATAACTTTACATCTGCGTGTTATTTGTATTCCAATCTGGTGCTCAGAATATCTCTGTAACTTTTTTTGCTTTTCTTTCAAATCATATTCTAGGGCCTTTTTCTGTACCTTGTATTAATTGAAGTCAATAGTAACATTCCCATGGATGTCAGGAGGAGATCATTATATTTTAAATATTTAAAACAGTATCTTGGCTGTTCACAGGGAATGCAGTAAACTAACAATGACCAAATTCTAAGGGTTTTGGAATGCTTTAATGTTTGAGCCCAAATTGAGGTAGTGTAGTCTGGAGTTCCAGTGTTTAGGACTTCTGAAAATCAAAAAATGAAATATTTTCATCTAAGTATGGATGTTTCAAGTTTTTACTAGTAAGTATTGTCTCTTGAAACTATTCTGTGTAAAAATAAAAAAGAAAACCCACATGGATTACCTATTTAACTGCAGTCAGGACAATTAGCATATGGAAGGCAAGACTTACTGCAGTCAGGAGTCCGTGGTGCTGTTTCTTTACTTCTGATGACACTGTGTCACCTATAGATGATTAGCTTTCCCTTCATTTCTTCTATCAGCTAATTATCTTTGAGTCATCTAAAATGTACGTGCCTCTTCCACTGGGTTTGTATCTCACCGATCAGACCCTAGGTACTTTCTGGCTGTGAACGGAGGTTGTAGAACAAGATTGCCCCTTTGCCACCACCGCCCCCGACAGTTAGCATATCAACTTGTACCTCTGCACATACAGTTTGTATTAAAATCAGCCTTCTGAAGATTAAACAGGGAAGTGAGGCAGGAATCAAAGTTTTGAGTCTTTCCTGTAGAGACTTCACCTTTAGTATCAGCAGAGGGAAAACTAATGTATTATTTGAAATTCAGTTTTGTTCCATTAAACTTCCTGTACTCAACAATAAATGGACTACAGGCTTAGATGGATAAAACACAATATTCTTTAGAATGTATAGAGAATCTTTACTGGAATATTGCACTGAGTCATTTTACAGCTCAGACCAAACCTGCTGGGTGACCTAGAGCATATTTACCACCAGGTGTGATGTAAAGATTTGAATCAAAAACACAATCAATCAATCTCTCCTTCTCATAAAAAATAGTAATATACATTCTTCCTGTAATGAGACAGTAAACTGGGCTTATGGTCAAGGATATAACTGGAAATTTGCTAGCTGTCAAGGCCGATTTAAAAACAGGAATAGAAAAGAAATAGGGAAGAAAATACTTGGTGGAAAGGGTAAAATACATAGCGGGCAGAATAAGGGAAAAAAATCAGGAGGAATATTCAGAAAGTGCAGGGAAAAAGTTTTCATCTATAGAATGAAATTGGAGCAGAAGAGGGAAATGAGAGAATGAAAAGTGAATCTGGGTATTCCAGTCAATAACAGAGCTTTTGTGCTGAATATCTGTATCTCTCAATCAGGTTAAAGCTCTCTGAAATATTTTATATTAAAATAACTTAATAAAAGTAAGTTGAGGAAGTGGAAGAATATACTGCATTCATAATACAGTCCTTATTTTAAATAGTTTTTGATTTGCCTAAACTTCTAATGCATGTAGTCCCCTCAGACTTAGCTGTGAGCATTTAGGAACATAACCTGAATTTGGGTAGTTCAAGTCATTCAGCAATCTGGAATTTCCATATCTTTCTTTCAATTTTTACATGGAGTCTTCATGGAACAGAAGAACATAGGAATTGGTTTTGTGGTTTGGAGCTGTGGAGTTTTTTTTTAGTTGTGGGGAAACTACAGTAACTTGAATAATTAAAACAAAAGATTACATCCCTTCCTTGGACTAGGCAACTTTTAATAATTGCACAAAGAAGAAAAGTTAAGGAAACAAGAAAGTGCACATCTTAATATTTCATACTATTCAAATTACAGCAGACCACAGCAGCACTGTAAAATCTTGGGTTTCAATAATATGTTAAAAATAACTTCACATATGTACACTAACCTGCTGGTGCAGTGCTAAAAATAGTACTCTTCCTGGTGTGTTGCTAACCTTTTTTGTCTTGACCAAATATGGGATTATGGGCTTTTGTCTAATAGGTTTTCAGTGCTTACAGTTTTAATAAGCCCTCTTTTTCAATCTAATCTATCTTCCCCCTTCATTTGCTTAAGGAATCAGGAAGTTAGTTCCTGCACATTCATTGAATACTTGCTCCTCATATTTCCCTAACTAGCCTCTTGTAGCTATGATAATTGGCAGGTGCTAAACACATTTACAATATTGTGGGTGTAAAGTCTCAATTTGTTGTGTGGCAACTGTATCTATAGGAGTCACTCGCAGTTATGCTATGGGTCTGGACACAGTCTAGTATTGCTCAGGAAGTAAGCATAAATTATTTCTTCTTAGTCAACCTGCAGAAAACAAATTGTAAGGAAAATATTACATTGACTAGTAGACTAGTAGGGCTTGACTAGTAGAACTAAATTGCAGAAGTTCAGCATGCTAAAGGGAAAATTGGAGGAGACAAAATATATATATATATTTTAATCATGATTGAGCGGGGTTGTTTGTTTTCATTATTTTGTGTTACAGGCTTATTATTTTCATAGTCTCATTCTGTTAAAACTTACCTGGAAACAGGTATGCAAAAGCTGTTGCTTATCTGCAATCTGAAACTGAAGAACTTGGAAAAACACAACTTTTCTTATTAGGAGTAGTTTCGCAGTTAAAAACCGTTGCGGGTAGTTTATGGAAGCAAT